TATATTATTTTTAAATAAAAAATGAATCATTTTGTCTTTTAAGATAATATATTTTTTAATTATAAATTAATGTACAAAAAAATATTATAATCAATTAATGTTATTAAAAGAAAAAACAAAATTGAAATACTTTATTTATAGCGATTTTGAAATATATAAATTTACCAAACACCTATATTTAACGGTTTAAGTAAAATTGCTAACATCTATCCCAAAATCACTATACCAAACGAGCCTTAAATCTAACAATATGTCTTGAATTAATTCATAAAAAACAGTGACATATAAGTTGAACCCCTTATTTGTACCTTATATATATATATATATATTTTTTTACGACCAACATTTTAAAATAATTCCATTCTAATTAACACTATAATTTAAAACCCATAAAAAAACCTCAAATTAATTACCAAGAAAATCATGATGTTGATACAAAGTTTGACCACGATATCAAGGTGCAAATAAGAGGATTTGACCCTAAGTTTTTAAGTTTTTCATAAGTTTTAAATAATGAAAAGTATAATCAAGATAAAAATTAGTTTAAAATGTTGACTACAGAGAAAATATGGGCTTTGGCCCTAAAATATATATTAGAGAAACAATAAAAAGAACCTTGAAGATATATATAGATGATGTACTTACAGTGCAAGATTAGCAGAAGAAATAGGTAAAGTTGGACACTGATAACCAACGTGGGCATTTCCTGAAAGATGCTGAGCAAACGCAAGTGAAATTAGAAAGAGAATCTTATCGTATCAAAAAGAAAGACTCGAAAGATGTAAGTGAGAATTACATGAAAATAAATATTATTTCACATCCAGTCCATATAAATATTTTAAATTAAATTATCGCCACATAAGTTTTTATGAAAAAAATTGAAGTTTAAGGTTATTATTATTTTGTTATTAAAAGGTAAAAATTATTTGAAAATGATTAAGATGATTTATATGTCCTTCAAACTTAACCAAGTTACTTAAGAAATTTGTTATTTGCACTAGGCATCATGCATCTTGAACCATATCCAACATCTAAGCAAACCAAAACTCATGTTGGATATTGGGTTTGCTAGCCTTCATCTCGAAGAAGGGTGGACTTGATCACATTTCGTTCGGCGGCGTCGATAGCAATATTGGGTTTGATCGAAGTTGGGGTTTGCTGTAGAGATGAATTTTTCAAGTTGTGATCAATTTCTTGTTTCTTTCAGTCAAAATATCCCATATCCCATAAATTCCCTATTATTAACGTTAATTTGCAGTTGAATTAAGCACCCAGAGTCAACCGGTGCCGAGGAACTCAAAATCCGTCGGTACCGGCGAAGACGTTGTCTGTTTTGGACACACGTTAATGCTAAGTAATAAACATATGGGTGTTTTTTATAAATTTACATTAAAAAGTGTTAATTTTTAATTCATAAATCCACATGTTAATGCTAAGTAATAAACATATTTTTTATAAATTTATATTAAAAAATATTAATTTTTAATTTATAAATCATTTAATTAAATAAATTTATGTAATAATGATATTAAAATTAATATAAATTTTTATATTTTCTTATAAAAATTAACAAAAAAAAGATCTCTTTAACTGGTGTGGGTTAAAAATACATAAGTAAATAAAATTTTTTTACTAAAAGAATATAAAAAATAAAATGCATAATATGAACTTTCAATGCAACATTTCATTTTTCAAAATTTTAATGAGGAAAATTATTGTTATACTGTCTGATTTTATATATTTATTAGCACTTTATTTTTAATTATTAAAATTTACTTGAGTTTTTTACCTTTAATTTAAACTCAAAAACAATAATTTTTAACAAAAATATTAAAAAATATACCAATTAATATCCTAATTAAAATGTAAACTAAACTTTTTAAAATAAGATGATATATATTACACTAATCTTTTATTGATACACCTTTCACTTTAATACAATGTTAAATTTCAATTTTGGTATCTCAACTTTAGAGTTTTATAAAATTTTTGTTTTTCAATTTTTTATATACTTTTTTGATCTCTCACTTATAAAAAAACTTATAAAAAAATACTTTTTTTAATCTTTCTATCAGTCAATTCACTAAATTTATCCAAACATATATATTTTTAATTTTTAAACTTTTAAATTGGAGAACCAAAATCGTGCATCTATTATAAATTATAAATTGAGAAATTAAAAATATATATTTAAATAAATTTAATAAATTAATTAACCAAAAGACAAAATATATTTTTTATAATTAAAAATTTTAAAAAATACATTAAAAATTAAAAAATAAAAATTATATAAATTTCTAAAACTGAGTGTAAAATTGTTATTCAACCTAATGTAAATAAAAATGGGTAACAACATTGTTTTTTATATCTTTTATATACAAGTTTCATGTATTATTATACAAATGATGTATATAATATTATAAATTTTAATAAAATAAAAATAATTAATCATTAAATAATATATAAAATTATAAACAAAATTAAAAATTTAATGACTTTTCAATGAAAATTTGGAAAGGGGATCCATGGATGATGACAATGTACGCCACAGTTTCATATTATTTATTATTATTATTATTTTAACAGGATTACATCTTTTGTAGGGGGAGGGGGGATTCGATCCTAAAATCAAGACTCTGATGAGAACTTCTATTACAGGAGCATCCACTGCGCGAGCCAACAGTTCTCGTGTCATACTATTTTAATTGATAGATGCGCAAAAAACATAATATAATAATATTTAATATTAATCACATAATAAATGAACTAAACTAAAAGCTACGTATGTCTCTTCGATTATGCAACTTTTATTAAATATATAAATATTTTTATAAATATTTTTAACATCAAGAGGTTTTTAATTTTTTGCATCCCCTTGAATTTTTCTATGAGATTTATTAAAATTATATTAATAAAATAATATAAAGAAGAGAGTCTGATAAGAATATTTTAGTGCATTCATAGGTGATACTACACTTTTTATTGTGCAGACCAATTTGAAACATATTTTTATTTTCATATTAAGGGTTAAATATATTTATATTTCGGTGGTTATATAAGTCTGTTGATAAAATAAAAGAATATTTGTTCTCTAGCAATTTGGTGCATTTCGCCAGTGAATTAGCCCTAATTACCATTTATTAGTTCTAAATCATTAAATAAAAATTTTATCAAATATTTGTTGTGTAGTGGTTTAAAAAAATAAATTTATTAAACAACTATCCTATAATAATTTGAATAAAACAGCTAATTATTATATCCAAGGGGGTTAAATGTTTTACCTGCAAGTTTAATAGATAAAACCGAAAAAATTGATGATGATGACCAAATTAAACCAAGCAAATTACAAGTCACAGCAAAATCTAGTTGCAAGCTCAATTCTTTGGAGTCGTAGCCGTTGACCTAAAAGAAAAACAAATTTCAAATATGATCAGTTACAGACTTACAGTTAAGTCAGTCGTATGTATAATTTAGTTGAAGCAACCAAAAGAATAATTCATAAAATTTGTTAAGAAGCTACAAATTAATTAATTAAAAGCACATTTAAAAATAAAGATTGTAACAATTTTAAAATGAGGAGATATTGGAGATTTTGAATAAAGTCAAGCTCTTGCAAAAAAAAAAAAATCATTTCATATATATACTTTAAAGATAACATAAGCACATAAAATTAAGATCAAAGATCTAAATAGACAATAGACCTGCAAATTCTATAGAAAAAACTATAGAAAATGGACAATGATAATCGATTTAATATATATACTTTAAAGATAACATAAGCACATAGAATTAAGATAAAAAAAAATTGAAATAGATAATATACTTGCAAATTCAATAGAAGAA